TAAATAAACGTTAAAAAAAAAAATTTAAAAAAAAATAAATAAACATCAAAACAAAACTGAAGACCTTCTATACATTCTAATCTGAAGTGCTACTGCCTCTTAAGTTCATAAAAGAAAAATATATGAACGAGAACCTGGCTTGGTTGCTGTCCCATCAATAGCTTCGAACAGTTGTGTAAAAATTGCTGCAAATCCTTCAGGCCCCGTTTTGTGGGTGCCCTGGGTCTGAGCAAGGCACTCGCCCCTAGAATGCGGGCTCAGAGATGAATAAACCCTCTTTATGAGCCGGCCACTTTCTGCTTCCAACTGCGGCGCATTTATTCTCCGTATGGGGAAGCCATTTGTGCTGTTTGCCAACCCCTCCATTCTTCTTAAGTGCTGTTCTCTGAAGAAAGGTTCAGATTTCCTTGGAAAATAAAATAGCTGTAAATACTTTGTGAAGCACGTGTATGTAATTGTCAGGAACACTTAGCCAAACGTGCTCTGGTCCCTAATTTCCCGCCGACTGGCTACTGGGAGAGGCCTTTCGACCCCTTGCCGTCCCAGACCTACCCGGGCTGCCAGGGCCCACCTCGGCTTTACGTCCCGCGGTACTACCAGGTTGAGTCCCCTGGGACAGAAGGATGCCATGCTGGACGTGGAGCACCATGGGTCGGGGGAGCGGGGGGAGGGAGAAGGGGCGGTGTCGTCCCAGTTCTCGCGAGGTTTCGCCCTGGGAGGGAGGCAGAGACGGTTCCGCGGCGGGTGCGAGATGCGCTCAGAGAAGGAGGGGGCCGGAGGCCCAGGCGCTGCCGTTGCTGCGCGGGGCCCGAGCGGGAGGGAGAAGCCGTCGGCCGTGGAAGTCCAGTTCCGCCGGGAGTCGCCGCGGCGAGAACCCGAGGCGCCACCAGCCTCGTTCTTCGTTTGCGGGGACGGCATTTGCAAACATCGCGAGGAGAAGAAAACGGTCCTGAGCAAGGTGGAGAAGGGGCGGGACAGATAAGCCTCGCGAGAGGAGGAGGGTCTTCAACAGGAGAGGCGAGGTCGTCCTGCAAACCTCGCGAGGAGAAGAGGGATGCTCTTCAGCTTGGCGGGGGTGGGGCCAATGGTTGGGGTGGTCTCGAGGGATGGGGCTAAGAAAGGTGGGTGGGCGGAGGCGAGGGGCTGCGGGAACGGGGTTGGGCAGGCAAACCTCGCGAGAAGAGGGATGGTCTGAGCGAAGACGGGGCGGGTTCAGGGTTTGGAGTGGTGGGAGGAGGTGATGCCACGCGTGGCGTGTTCTGGGAGCGCGGGTCGGGGCTGGGCCAGCCGCTTCAGCACCGCGGACAGCGGCTGGGGGAGGCGGGGACGACGTGCAGCTGGAACCGTTTCCCGTTCCGCCAAACGCGGCCTTTTCTGGTATGGAAGGAGGAAGAAGAGTGCGTTCAGCCTGTGTTGTTTACGATTGGGGCTGCCACGCTGAGATGCTGGGCCACCGGGAGGCTCTGTCCTCGGCCCGGGCGATGCGAGGGGGCGGCTCGGCGAGGGTCCGGTCCTGTCCAGGGAGGGCGGCGGGAGGATACTGCGGGCAGGGGCAACAAGTGCGCATCGCAGGCGGAGGTCCCTTGGCAGGAAAAACAGGTGCACCGCCGGGCTGTTAGAATTGCTGTTGCTCTGCGTGCAGGGAGAATGTAGGCGGAGGTTTTATTTTTCAACTCGGGCATGGACAGTAAGCGTCATGCCAAGAGTTGTCTGGTTTCCTGAAAAGGAGCTGCTTTATGCACCCCTTTTTCTGACCTTACCGATTCCGTTTAGATTAGTCAGCCCTCATTACCCTTTTGACAGCCATGTTCTCCATGCATGTATTTCTTAGCTTTTCCTAAAATGTGTGTTTCTGCTGGACTCCTGGTTGAGATCTCCTTCTGAACCAAAACACAGGTGACATTCAAATTATTGAGGCAATGATAGTGAAACAAAACCCACCCAGAGTCCTTTCTACAGGTGGTCATCCGACGGCTTCCTCCCAGCCTCACCAAGGAGCAGCTGGAAGAGCAGCTACACCCACTGCCGGCACATGATTACTTTGAGTTCTTTACTGCCGATTTCAGGTGAGAAGCTGCTTACCAACATTAAGAAGCTGGGAGGTCTTGTCACTTGATGAGAGATTAAGATTATTATAGATGATGAAAGCTATGTTTATTTCCATCTTCTTTCTTACATGTACTCAGAAATCAGTGCAGACCTTTATTTCTGCAAATTGTTTCCAAGTAGGCAGATCATTACATTCTACTAGCACCACCATAGTCTAAAGAGAACAAACACCAGAGACAGAAACAATATTCCAGCCCCCAGAAACCGACTTGTGCTCCCTTAAATCACTAAGACCCCTGTCCCCACCTCACACCTGCCAGGTTATATCTTTTTTGATTCTCTTTTACATCTTGGTAGTAAGGTGGCTCTGACAACACTTTCACACTTCCAGATCTTTTTTTTTTTTTTTCCAACGTTTATTTATTTTTGGGACAGAGAGAGACAGAGCATGAACGGGGGAGGGGCAGAGAGAGAGGGAGACACAGAATCGGAAACAGGCTCCAGGCTCTGAGCCATCAGCCCAGAGCCTGACGCGGGGCTCGAACTCACGGACCGCGAGATCGTGACCTGGCTGAAGTCGGACGCTTAACCGACTGCGCCACCCAGGCGCCCCCAGATCTTCTTTTTATTAACAATGAAAGAGCAGACCTCATGTTAGACCTTCAACAGGTGATAGTTCGGTTAGAATTTTGTGATTTTTCACTGTTTTTATTATTACCTTTATTATCATTATTATCCTTTTTATCTTCAGTGTCATGAGTGTCATGAGTTTGTTATGGTAGCCATATAAACTTTCCTTCTGAATAAATACATTTAAGTTAAAAATGCCAGTTCATTCAAAGAAAAATATCACAGGTAAATATAGATTTGGTTTTAAAAAAATAGATGATTTTCAAATGACTAACGTTTAAGAAAACTGGTACCATTAAAGGACAGGCACCGGACTCAGAGTGACTCAGGTTGAATCATAGTCCTATCTTTAACTAGCTGCACCTTTTGCACATACTGAATTTCTCTGGGCCTCAGTGTTCATGTCTGTGATATGGGGTTGAAAGTTCCTGCCTATGAAGGAAATTGGTAGTTGTGAGATCAAGGAGAAAGAGTTAGTTCTTCTATAGTCCCCATACCATGTGCTACAATTAATATCCCTTTAAAATACGTAAAAGTGGTCATCAGTGAAGAATATCTTGTAAATATAACGTTTTCAACTGTGAATGAATCATGATTAGGTTGTATTACATCATTGTATGTACTAAGGAAAACCTTTAAATAACTTTGCCTGTGATTTTTCAACCTCGGAAGACCATTATTTTAACCCTGGTTTTGTGTAATAGAGAAACTTACCTTAAGTGTCTTTCCCAAGTTATTAAAAAGATCTCGGGTAATGTTTTGTTTATTTTTGTTTTTTTGTTTTTTTTGCTAAAGAATACCCAGATTATTGTAATTAAAAGAGAAGTGATTCTTTGGCATAAAGGTTTTATTTGAAATAGTTTGTTGCATCTAGAAAAGGAAAAGAAAATCAAAATTAAAGAAGCCTTGAATTTTTTTGCTAACAGTTTTCACTGTTCTCTTTTATTTCAGTCTTTATCCTCATCTCTACTCAAGAGCATACATTAATTTTAGAAATCCTGATGACATCCTTCTTTTTAGAGATCGTTTTGATGGATATATCTTCATTGACAGTAAAGGTTCGATTGTTGGCTTTTTAAACTATTATAATCTCTAACTACATTAATTATGTTTTGCTGGAATGTTTGTGAACAGTAATTAAGTTCTCAGATACCGACTTAAAATAAGTTCATAAATTTTTATTGTGTTACTGTGGTTATGTGCTTGTGTTGAAAATTGAAATTACGTGTAAACCAAAGAACTCCAGCAAGTCTTTGTAATCTATTTATGTATTATCAGAGAGTGAAGTTTTTCATATAAATGAGTTTCCTGGATAAGTGAGCTTCACTTTCTTATGTACCAAAACTGAATTGCTTTGTTCATATTAAATATAAGTCTTTTAAATTATATTATTTACTTATATCTATGTCTTAAACAGAGAACTTTTTATAATCATACATTTCTGGATTATGTCATGGGGGAAGGGGATTGTAGTAACGAACATCACTTTCTCACTGTTGAACAGCTGCCCGCTGAGACAGCTCTGTACTTTTGGGTCCTCCCTTTGTCCTCCTTTCCTGTCAGACTGTCAACTGTTGTGTCCACTGCAATCAAGTCTGTACACCTGTATCAGCATATTCTCTGTACACCTTTCACCAGCCAGCCTCCTCCCACTTCACCCACCGCACTACTGATAAGTGTTTTCTTCTCCAATGAGAGGGAGCAAGAAACCCTCAAAGAGTGACTAGGCCAAGAGATTCTTTTCTTTGAGCAAAAACAAATTTAATGCTTGAACTATTTGACATTTGTGTTAAATGCTTGTTTATTCAAGTGCCTTTTTCCTTTAGTTTTTAAAAAGTTATGGTAAGATACACAAAACTAGATTTACCATCTTAGTCTTTCCTGAGTGCACAGTTCAGTAGTGTTAAGTACGTTCACACTGTTGTGCGGCCCACTTCCAGAACTCTTTTCACCTTGTAAAACAAAAACTCTGTACCTGTTAGATAACTCCCCTCTCCTCCCCCACCCCCAGCCCCTGGCATCCACCTTTCTGTGTTTTGGTTCTATGAATTTACTACTCTGGATACCTCCTATAAGTGGAATCTTACAGTATTTCTCTGTTTGTGCCTGGCTTACTTCATGTAGCCTGGTGTCCTCAGTGTTCACCCATGTTGTAGCAGGTGTCAGAATTTCCTTTTTAAGGCTGAGTAATATTCGGCTGTGTGTGTACCACATTTTGTTTATCCATTTTTCAGTGGACCCTTGGGTTGCTTCCAGCTCTTTGTTGTGAACAGTGCTGCTGTGAACATGGTGTGCAAGTATCTCTTGGACACCCAGCTTTCAGTTTTTTTGGGTGGATACCATTGTGGGATTGTTAGATCATATTATAATTATAGTATTAATTTTTTGAGGAACTGCCCTACTGTTTTCTGTAGAGGCTGCTTCATTTTCTCTTCCTGCTGATAGTGCACAGGGTTCCAGTTTTTCCATATCCTTGCCAGCAATTGTTGTTTTCTGGGGTTTTTTGGTAACAGACATCCTAGCAGGTATGAAGCAGTATCTCATTGTGATTTTGATTTGCATTTCCCTAATGCTTAGTGATGTCGGCATCTTTTTGTGTGTTTGCTGATGTCTTCTTTGGAGGAAGAGAAATGGAGGGATGTTCAATTTCTTCGCCCATTTTTAAATTGAGTTGTTTTTTGTTAAATTGTAAAATTTTTGTTAATATATTATAGATCTTAACCCCTTATTGGATATATGATTTTTTTTCCCATTCCATAGGTAGTCTTTATATTCTGTTGATGTTTCAGTGCTTGCTTTGGCAGCACATATACTATATTCTGTTGATGTTTCTAATGTGATGTCCAATTTTTCTTTTTTTATTTTAGTTGCTTGTACTTTTGGTGTCATATCTAAGAAGTCATTGCCAAATCTAATGTCAAGCTTTTACTCCATGTTTTCTGCCAAGGGTTTTATAGTTTTAAGTGTCATGTTTAGGTCTTTGATCCATTTTCAGCTAACTTTTGTCTGTGATACTAGGTAAGAGTTCAACTTCATTCTTTTGCATGTGGTTATCCAGTTTTTCCAGCACTATTTGTTAAAGAAGATTGTCATTTCCCCCATTGAATGTCATCTTCCCAATTTCCCCATTAGAGAGAGAGCATGTGTGAGTGAGGAAGAGGGGCAGGGAGGGGGGAGAGAGAGAGAGAGAGAGAGAGAGAGAGAGAGAGAGAGAAAGAGAGAGAGAGAGAGAGAGAATGAGAATGAGAATGAGAGAATGAGAATCTGGAGCAGGCTCCATGCTCAACAGAGCCCAAGGTGGGGCTTGATTCCACAACTCTGGAATCATGACCTGAGCCAAAATCAAGAGTCAGATGCTCACTGACTGAGCCACTCAGGTGCCCCAATACCATACTGTTTTGATTACTGTAGGTTTGTAATAAGCTTTGAAATCAGAAAGTGTGTCAACTCCTATTTAATAACTATTTATGTCCCAGGCATTGTTGATGGAGCAGTGAATGAGACATTGTTCCTCTCTGTCCAAAGCCCTGCTCTCCTCCTGGTTCTTGACTTTCTCCTGGATAGTTAGGGTTAGCATCGAAATATCTTTCAGATAATAAGAGTTGCAATATCATAGTCACGTGACCATTCCTGACGAGGCTGAAGGTGATTACTCAGTGAATTTAGTACCAACATGAAAGTGTTCCATCTGTTGATTAAGTGTATAGCAGGTTATCTTGGTGAACATTTCTTGGTATGTTCCCCCCCCCCCCCCGCACATAATGACCAAGTCAGTTTCTCATGGCTTTCATTGTAAACATTCCTGTTTGAAGCAAACCCTGTCTGATTATTGTGCACACCCTTCGAAGCCCCTCTTTTAGTCAAGTGTCTCTTGTAAGCAGAGTAATTCCCTTGAACTCACATAACAGATTGATAATGGAATTAACCTTTTAAAATCAGAAGAAATTTAAATGTGACTAAGAAATGTATTTAAAGGTACTCCACGATAAACTCTTCAGTGGAAAAGAGAGGGTTTATTAACATTGAGTTAATGTAAAATTCACCATTTGATGAATTTTGAATGCATTCAGTTTTGTAACCTCTACTAACACATGAAAAATCATTTTATTTGATAAATAAATGCTCGTCCTTTGTTCATGTCTGGAGTTTGACATGCTAAGGTTGTGGTTGCTCGAAATATAGTTAAAACAGTTAACATTGTCATTGTTATACGCGGTCTTTAAGAAAGCAAACGTTATTTACTAAAATGAATGTAGTGGAATTTCAGAATGGCTTTTGCAATTTGTTTCTAATACAGGCCTAGAATATCCTGCAGTGGTAGAGTTTGCCCCATTCCAGAAGATAGCCAAAAAGAAGCTAAAGAAAAAAGATGCCAAAACCGGAAGCATTGAAGATGGTGAGTCCTTTTACAAAGGCTGAATTAGGAAACTGCCAAACCAAATACACTGATCAGATATAATTCGTCTACCAGATATGGGGAGGAGCATGTTTATTTTCCATTTTTCTTTTTAAATTTACAGATCCGGAATACAAGAAGTTTTTGGAAACTTACTGTGTGGAGGAAGAGAAAACGAATGCCAATCCTGAAACTCTTCTGGGAGACATGGAGGCAAAGACAAGAGAGCTTATTGGTCTGTTTGCTCATTTCTTCTCTTTGTTGAGACGTGTACTTACAAAGCTTGTATTTCTTTTTCATGAGTATTTAAAAATACACGCTCATGACAGGCTTGGCAGGAATGTAGAATGTTTTCCAGTTGTAACAAAAGGATGGAAACCCGTGAAAATATTTCTGCGTGTCTGTTGATGGAGAGCACCAGAACTTCCAGTCATAGGCGTTTTGTTGACAGTTATGATGCTTCCAGACAAGCAGTAAAGAAGACCGTGGAGTGCTCTGTGCCTGCTACATCAGGGAGGGAGTGCTGTGTCTCAAGATTGAAGTCGGTCATCTTTCTCAAGAGCAGTCCTAGAGATGAGATGCTTTGCCCAAGTGTGAGGCCATGTTGTTACTGTTCAGAAAATACCAAGCGCTCTGAGAGAGCAAGCAGACAAGTGGATAAACCCAGCCGGAGCACAGAGTCTGCTTTGAATCAGGCTTCAGCCCTTTTTTGCAAGCAGCATATTTTAGAAATGGCTATCTCCTGGTGGCAGGTTGTAAACTTACCTGGTGTCTCCCTTGCTGTCTGCTCCCACTCGCCCCTGCTCTCCTATCCCTCCCTGTGGCTGTGTCCCACTTGCCCATCAAGATGTCTAGAACGGGATGATTGCCCTGTTAATAATTTACATTTTTATTTACCCATCTCTCCCCACCCTCCCCCCCCAGTAGAACCGTATTTTCATATTGGTGGTCCCAGTAGTACATGGTTAGACAAGGTTAGGTATTCAGTAAATGTTTGTTGAGGAAAGTAGTAAGAGAGGTTAACATTTGAAATGGTCTTCATTAGTCAAGTAATGAAGGTTTATGTTTTGTAACAGCTGATTTAATGTGTGGCTCAAAAGATTTTTAATCACTAAAGCAAATATTTGTAAAGATGTGCTTAGGGTACATTTGCTCATTTTTGGTTAGCACATGTTGACTGGGAGTAGGGAGTGAGCATGGCCACGGCCATCACGTAGCTGCCCTGCTCATGGGCAAGACTGCAGTAAACACCCGAAAAATAACCAGGCTTCAAGCCAGGGAATCTTCATGGCGCAGTGCCACAATGTGGTGAAATAATTCTGAGTGGGAAAGGCCCTCTGAGTCCACATTTGAGCTGAGAGCAGCCATGCTAAGAGGCGGGAGAAGAGGGGACTAGAGATGAGAGCTGGGAGCTGAGCTGCGGGCCCATAGGAGTGGGATACGTGCCTGTGTGCTTGGTACACAGGTGGGCCTCAGGCGGAGTGGCTGGAGAGGCAGGTGAGTGAGAAGTTCGGAGTTTATTGGAGAGACAGCTGGAGACCATTGAGGGAGTGGCATGGCTTGATTAGTTCTCCCTGTCGCTCCATACATGATGGTTTGTGGATGCCCTGAGGAGACATTGGGCTTCCAGTGGGGAGACTTTGCTCCAGTCCAGGGAGGGCTGCTTGTGCTAGCCAGCAGAGTCCACATAAGCTCTGGCGGATTGGGTGTGGGAAGAAAGGAAACAGAAAGAATCCAGGCCCCCAGGAGTTTTACCCAAACAGATCAGTGGATGGGGGCACCATCACTGACCTGGGGCAAACTGGGGAAGGAAACTTACTGGAGGCAAATCGAGATCTCACTGTAGAGCATGTTAAATTTAGGAAGAGCTTAGAAAAGAAGCAAATTAAAAATGTACAGGACTTGCCCTGCCCCCCACCCCCCCACTATCATTTCTTTCCTACTTTGCTATAAAAGCCCTTGTACAGGGTACCCACAGAAAAGGACCAGGAGCTTCCACTGGTGGATAGTTTTGAGGCAGGCCTTGGTGGCCAGACACACACCATCCAGCTGCTCCAGCTACTCTCCCACACAAGGGGGACAACCTTTCCCATTCCCAGCCCCTCACCTTGTTCCTGGTGCACAGCAGGTGATCATAGTGTTTTGCTGAATGAGTAAGTGTGATTCAGAATCTGTGCCCATTGAAGTTTGGATCTTAATCAGGCAATTCATGACAGATTGCCTTTTTCTTTTCTTCGATTTTGGCCTTCAGTGGACTCTTATGATCTAGTCTGAGCAATGAGGGTTAAATGGAAATATTAAATCCCTCTGAAGTTGCAGGTTAGTGTGGTGGCATGGCAGGGTCTGTGGAGCGGACAAACCTGGGCTCAGGTTCCAGCCCTAAGACTTAGCAGCTGTGTGGCCTCACCTGAGCCTCAGCATCCCTGCTGCCAGGTGGTGGTGACAGTGCCTAGGATGGAACAGCTCTCTGTGAGTGGTGAGAGTCATGCTCTTGGATAAGTTAGTGTTATATTACATGACCATGCACCTTGTTTAGCAAATGATACATTTCTGTGGTTTGTAAAGCACTTTCTTATCCAGGGTCTCATGTATCCTTCATATCTATCCTTTGGGGTAACAAGGGAGGTGTTTGTAGAAGGGGGAAGGCAGGTGGGATCTCGGTGTTAGCTCCCCCACCTACCCAGGGAGATCTTGGTCCTGCTTTTTGCCTACAAGTCCAGAACTCCCATGGTGAAGAGCAGATCCTCCCTATTTGAGGTGATTGCCTATTACAAAGGGCATTGGCTGTGCTCATCCTGAGCCAGAGTTCATGGTTAACACAGGAGCCACCCAGGGAGGAAATGGGCTCCTCTTGGCCCCTGTACTTATGATGAAACGTGGGCATTTGCACAGCCCTGAATCCAGGGCAGAGCTTTCTTGGCAGAAGCCATTGGTATATTATGTTGCGGTGTTCAGGAGTCCTTAATTCCAAGGTAAGAACCCCTGCCCAGGGGCTTTCTTGTAGAATTTATGATTAATTCCTGATCCTTAGAATTCTGGAAATGTATGTCTTGGCCAGCCTTCAAGTGCGTCCAGGGATTCTTTCTTCCCTCACTTAATCTTAGATCTTGAAAGAGCTGTAGCATAGACCCAAACCATCTTCTGCCTTCCCACCTGCATCCACAGCCACTGCCATAGGGAACACATGCTTCTCAGAAGCAATCCCTTTGAGAGGCTATGCCAGGAGGCCTGCCACAAATGGGCACCAAATTTCAGGTTAGGTCAGACAGGTCCAGGGCATGAAAACTGAGGATCAGGTTTGAGTTTATGGAGAGGTTCATCCCTGGGTGGCTAGTGCTGCTTAGATAAAGTGCCATGGGTGGGGGGCGGGGGCAGTGTCACTGTCTAAACTTTTACACCTGGTTATTCTGGTTTGTAGAGTGTATATCATGCGAAATCACAAGAATCCACATTGCTTAAAATCATTGTCTAGAGAGCAGAAAAGGAAGAAACTCCCAGAATATATGTTGAATCAGTGAATCTGTAAGCGGGCTATGTAATGTTTTAAAATATCCACAAAAATGCGAAGATACTTGGGTACCTGGGTGGCTCAGTCAGTTAAGCGTCTGATTCTTGATTTTGGCTCAAGTCATGATCTCACGGTTTGTGAGTTTGAGCCCTGTGTTGGGCTCTATGCTGACAGCATGGAGCCTGCTTGGGATTCTCTCTCTCCCTCTCTCTCTCTCTCTCTGCCCAGCCTCCTCCCCCGCCCCCAATAAATAAACTTAAAAAAAATAATGTGAAGATACTCATAGCATTCAGGAAGTCTAATCCATTGTACTCATTTTTCTTTTTTGCTTTTATGGCGTCTTTGTGAGTAACATGAAGCCTCCCTTAAGAATCAGGAGTTCGTTGCCTACTGTGTGTAGAGTTGTCAGTACCTCCAGATGATGTGATTTTATAGTGATGGAATAGGAATTTCTCCAGGTACAATGTGTGCACATCTAAATTGTATTCGTTTATTTATTATAACTGTTTTATTTTTAAGTAATCTCTGCACTCAACGTGGGGCTCAAATTTCCAACCCCCAAATCAAGAGTTGCACGCTATGCCTACTGAGCCAGCCTGATTACTTAAGGATTAAATTGAAAACAAGTATTTAAAATAAAGGAAAGAAATCATATTTTAGAGTTAAATACTACATTACAATTTTTGTGTTTTAGCTAGAAGAACCACACCTCTTTTGGAATATATTAGAAATAGAAAATTAGAGAAGCAGGTAGGTTGACCTTTTTTCCTGATAAATATCCTTCCTGTCTCTGCCACATTCGTGCAGACAATTTATACACATGCTTTTCCACGTCTTCAGAGGATTCGAGAAGAGAAGCGAGAAGAGCGAAGGAGGAGGGAGCTGGAGAAGAAGCGCTTACGGGAAGAAGAAAAGAGAAAAAAGAGAGATGAGGAGAGGTGTAAGAGAAAAGAAGCAGACAAACAGAAGAGAACAGCAGAGAGAGAAGTAAGGATTAAGGTAATCTTGAGGGGACCTCTCCTTTCGTTTTTCCAAAAGTAGTTCTGCTACAGGCACGCCTTTTAGGCGTTTAGCTCTTGCTACTTGTAAGGAAACTTGCAGTTAGCCTTGTCTCTTACTATTATAGTTCCATTTCTCTGCGATACAGCAGTGCTTCTCAAACTGTGTTCCCTGAGCCCTGGGGGTTCCTTGGGCATGCTGTGGGGGAGGTGGAGAAGGACCACCCAGCGGAGCCCCACACTTACATGTCAGAGTTGGGGCTTCTGCTTACGTTTCCATCAGAGAGAAGACTTCCTGACTAAAACGTACATGTTTGGAAACCACTGGCCCCATGTGCACTGGCCTTTCTAGATGAGGGCTCACTCCTGGTGTTGGGTGTTACCATTTTCTTTGCAGGAGCAGCAATGTTTCTACTCTCTTGCCCAATTTCTCCTTTGACTGATGCATTCATCTGGAAGGGTGGCTTCATGCACAGAAGGAGGTCTTTCCAGTGTAAAATATGTTGCCCCAGTTTGAGCCAGCCCTTACTTCTTAGTCTTCTGCTCAGATGACCTTACTAACCCTAGACTTCAACCTAATGTGCACCTCCCCTCATTGCACAAAGTGTTTGAGATGCTTTATAGGGATTCATTAAAATTATATCAGAAAAAGAAAGAAAAGATCAGGACTTGGGGGAAGATAGAGTAGAAAGGGAAAGGATGGGGAAGAGATCATAGTCATCATAATTGAGCAATAGACTGGTTTCTGGTATGCTTGATCAGAAACAGTGTCATTATCCATGAAGGAAAAACAGGCCAGTTCTTTAAGGAAGGCGAAGCTTTTTCTAGGCCTTTGCTTCTAAATCAGTTTCTCCTGTAGGTGGTCACATGGGGCTCACTGGCTGAAGGGAACAATTTCTTCACAAAACTTGTACAAAAACACACAACCGTGTGTATCCTTGAGGCCTGGCTAGGTTTGCTGCAGGAACAGGTAGCCTCACACCAGTTCACGCAAGGAGTCTGTTGGTGGCGGGCTGTGGCTGTCGGTCGCTGCTTACCGTTACTGCCCAGGACCCGGCGACCAAGGCTGCACATTGGCATTTGCTTCCACAGCCCTTATGACCAGGCAGGAACGTGTGATGCTGCAGGTCGTATGCCCATGTTTCTCTTCTGCCCACGTTTCACTGGCCAAAGCAAGTCACATGGCGGTACCTAACCTCAGGTTGGGGGCATGTTTAGGAAGCACCAGGAGGAGAACCAGAAGTATCTGATGAACAGCACTAAGGAGTAATTTCCAAAGACTGTTTATTCAGGTGTCTCTCTTGAAGCTTAAAGGCATTGCGGGGCGCCTGGGTGGCTCAGTCGGTTAAGCATCCAACTTCAGCTCAGGTCACGATCTCGCAGTCCGTGAGTTCGAGCCCCGCGTCAGGCTCTGGGCTGATGGCTCAGAGCCTGGAGCCTGCTTCCGATTCTGTGTCTCCTTCTTTCTCTGCTCCTCCCCCGTTCATGCTCTGTCTCTCTCTGTCCCAAAAATAAATAAACGTTAAAAAAAAAATTTTTTTTTAAATAAAGGCAGTGTTGAAAACCTTATCTAGATGAAAGGTGTGGGGCAGGTCATGTCCCTCGAGCACATTTGCTGCAAAGACAGCACCTGGATGGGCAAGATGAGTGGGGAACTGATTGTCCCACAGAAAGTATCTCCTAATCTGATAGCATTGATGAAATTGAGGAACCCAGCCAAGACTATCAAATATACACGGTTCATTCCCCCCTCCGTCAGCAAGGACATAGCAAAACCAGGGTATTCCTCAGGAAACAACTCTGAGGTCATGTTTTTCATTCGTCCTTGTAGTTTTAGTGAACACACAAGTCTCCCAACAAAATTGTAGCAGATAGACTTCCTGTAACAAACTTTTCATCTCCAACAGCATAAATCAACAGCCCTGGAAAGGTAATCAATAAAATGAAACCTTAATATTACAGAGAAACCTTAAGCATTAATCCTGACAGAAATTCAGTTCTGTCATGGCCAGGCACCAAATAGATACACGTTTAATAGAAATTTTGTGGCCACCGATGTGGAAATATTATCTAACCTTCTCATTTATCTTTCTAAACACGGAATCATAGCTAACCCAGTGCCTAATCTTTACACCCCAAAAGTACTTTTGTCAGTAGCGCTGAGAGTTTTTCAGGAATAATGACACTTGTAGCTTATAATTTCAGTTTTAATTTTAAGTAAGGCTTAAAGTATTTGGAATGTAGCATTCATTTTACTTTTACATTTTAAATTATGGAATTAGGAGCGCCTGGGTGGCTCAGTCGGTTGAGCATCCGACTTTGGCACAGGTCATGGTATCACAGTTCGTGAGTCTGAGCCCTGCCTCGGGCTCTGTGCTAATAGCTCGGAGCCTGGAGCCTGCTTCGGATTCTGTATCTCCCTCTCTATCTGCCCCTCCTCCGCTCACACTCTCTCTCTCTCAAAAATAAGCATCAAAAAAAAATTTACAAAAAAAAATAAATTATGGAATTAGAGTCCGAAATAAGTCAAAGAAATAAAAAACAAAATTATACCACTGAAAGTAAACATATGTTCCTTCCTGTAGAAAAAAATAAGTCAAAACATAAAGAAAGCAAGAGAAAGGGTTATTCTTGTTCAAATCTGGTAAAACAAAATCTTGGTGGCAGGTTAGACCACAATGGCATAGGTAATCAACAGCCTGTGTCCTTAGGGGAGTGTCTGGTGTCTAGACCTGATTACACACAGCCACGCCCAAGGTTTGCCTTTAATGAGCATCTGTGCTCATTTTCAGGATTTCTGACTTAAGAATCATTTGGAGAGTTAAAATTCTTTTGTAACCTGAAAAATAAAATCAGTGAAGAAATGCTAAAAGAGTTTATTAATATCATAAAAATACAGATGCAGAGAGATATCCTCAGGCTATTTTTAACATAAAGGAAACTGTGATACAAGGAAAGCAACCCAGCTGTTTTTATTTTCCTCTGAGGACTCTAAAACTAGGTGATGAGCTTAAGCTGAAGTAGGAAGTTAGAGATACGATACAAAGTTACAAATACAATTCCTGAGTACACAAATTGTGGAGAATAGATGACATTAGTTGTGTGATCTTTTCTACAAAGCTTATTAAAAACCAAGGTGGACTGCGTGGAAGCACCCAAGACCTGGCCTCTGTTCCTCCTCCCCCTCCCTCTTCCCTCCCCCGCCTCCCTCTTCCCCTCTCCTTCCTCCTCCCTCCATCTTCCTCCTTCCTCTCCCCTCCCTCCCTCTTCCCTCCCCCACCTCCCTGAATCTCCTGCCTCTCTGTCTCCTCCTCCCTCTGGTTTCACCTTAGGCCTCTGCTTGCTTCCTTCTACTGGGAGTTTCCCCCAAGACTTACAGTTTCTCTTAAGTGTCTCGTTCTCATTATCTGGTCTCTATTCATGTCTAACCTCCACAGAGAGTCCCTCCATGACCCCCTTGAGAACCCATTCCTGCTCTTACTCTCACCCCACATCTCTCTGGGGATGTGTGTGTGTGTGTGTTTTCTGTTCTATTAGTTGTTTGTAGCATTTCACGCCATCTAAGATTATCTGGTTCACTTTTTCTATTTTGTCACCGCGTACACCGTTCTCCCCCTCCCCCCCATGGCCACCACTGCCTCAGCTAGAATGTACTGTGGATTCCTTCACCGTGGGCACTTGTCTCTTACTCACAACTGTATTCCTAACACCTAACACAAGGACTTTTTCCCGAGTTCTGGCACATAGCTCCTAAAACCCTTGCAACCCCCGGAGTGATAAGAGCATCTTCTCTGTACCAGTGAGGTGACAGGTGGCTGAGGCCTTGGTAGCTTCAGGATAAGAGCTGATTGTCAGAAAGACTGGGTGTGATTAGAGGGTTGGAACACTCAGCCAGCCCTGTGACCTCAAGAGATGGGAGAGGGCTGGAGATTGAATTCAGTCCCCAGCCACCAATGATTTAATCATTTGTGGACATGTAGTGGAGCCTCCATAGAGGTCCCTAAAGTATGGGGTCCAGAGAGCATCCAAGCTGTTGAACACATCAAGGTGCAGAAGGGTTCTGCTGATGGAGAGGGCCTGGAGGCTCTGAGCCATTCCCCCGTACCTTGCACGGAACACCTCTTTGATCTAGCCGTCCCTGCACTGTGTCCTTTGTAATAATCCAGTGACCTAGTTCCTGCACTGTGTCCTTTGTAGTAATTCAGTGACCTAGTCTAGCCGTCCCTGCACTGTGTCCTTTGTAATAATCCAGTGACCTAGTCTAGCTGTCCCTGCAGTGTCCTTTGTAATAATCCAGTGACCTGGTTCCTGCATTGTGTCCTTTGTAATAATCTAGTGACCTAGTGTAGCCGTCCCTGCACTGTGTCCTTTGTAATAATCCAGTGACCTAGTTCCTGTGAAGTTTTGCTGAGTTCCACAAGTTGTTCTCATTCAAGAACCCCTGAATATATAGCCAGTCAGTCATAGGTGCTAGTGGCAACTTGGGACTTTTGACTGGCATCTGAAGTGGGAACAGTTTTGTGGGGTGTGACATTAATTGCAACTAGGTGGTGTCAAAACTGAAATGAATTGTAGGATACCAGTCCGTGTTGAGAGTTGGAGAAATGGTTTTGGAAAAGACACCACACATTTGGTTTCAGAAGTATTGCAAGTAAAAACGATTCGTAGGTGCACTAAATTATTCATTGGATGGATGGGCAGGAACATAAACTGTTGTACTTCCCTGTGATTTACTTCTAGGACCAGCATGTAATGCTTTTTTAGTTAAAAATGTGTCAATAGATATGTGAAAGAAAATGTGTCAATTCATAGAGCCCACAGACAGGAGAAGACTATGTAAGGTACTGCAACTTCCAGTGCTTGGCCTCACATTTTACCTGTTTTATTCTTAAATGAACTCATGTAGTTGAAACTTATCTGTGTGTCATTTTGCTGTAATGCAATTTAAAATACGTTCACTTTTTCAAGTTAGAAAAAAATTCTCAGAAGTGTACCTTCTGTTTTTGTTTATAAACTGACTTGCCTGTGGCAGTTGAATTTCAAAGAGTAAACTACACAGAGAAGAGCGAGGAGGGCCCAAATTCCACGACAGCCGCCTGCTCAGGCTGATTCAAGAAAGAGTAGGAAGTGTTCTGAAAAGTCTAAACTATTCTAAAAGTCATCAGTATAGTGCAGCATTTTAAACAATGCTTTTTTTTCCTCGTTACAAAAGCAATACTTGTTAATTTTGGAAAAAAACAGAACTTGTTGATACAAGAAAAGAAGATCATTTCAGTCCCACCACCTGGACACCACTGTTAACAGCGTTGCCAGCCTTACAGCTGTTGTTGTGTGTGTGTAAACATAGAGACCAGGTCGTTCAGTTCTATAGCATTCTTTTGTTGTGTCAGCATGCATGTCTTCTCACATCAGCCGTCCTAAATCGTTGTTCATAACGATAGTATTTCGTTGACTGACTGTTCCCGTATTTAACCAAAAACCTGGTTGCTGCACCTTTAGCTTACATTTTTTGCTATTCAAACACTTGTGCTCAATGTTGCTTTATGTTTTTAATTTTTTTTAAAACAGCTTCGTTTATACCATATTCTAAAAGTGATATTTTACTGACATTATAATTTCTTAGCTTCTTAAGAAACCAGAAAAGGGAGAGGAACCAACCACTGAGAAGCCAAAAGAAAGAGGAGAGGAAATGGATACTAGAGATGGAGAACAGGAGTCCTCTCCTGGCTGTGCTGTCCGGAAGCCCATGCCCTTGGGGATCTCGCTGGAGGAGCCCAGGGAAAAGTGAGCCTGTGACTGTCACTGTGTCAGAGTCGTATGTGTCCTTTATCGTATTTCAAACTGTTTGTGGAATCGGGTTTTACCAAGATAATGCCCACATCCTTATTTCTTCTGGGTCACGCTAGGGGCTTGGTAAATGCATTTCGTCTGCAGCCTCAAGTCTGTCTTCAAAGCAGGAACATGTCCTGCTTCCAGTTCCTTAGCCGTTCCTGTCCTTGCTCCCTTTGGATTCCTGTTATCACTCTTTAGGTCTTCAGGATCTCCTTCCCAGTCTTGTCCAAGTGCTAGGATTCCTGTGTTGGTGTTACCATCCCTGTGGCCCTCCTGTGGAATCTGACCAGCAGCTGTGTGGATCCCAGTATTGCGCTAGCCCTGCCTGTCTCAGGCTAGGGGTCCTTGGGGCATGTACTTCTCTGCGTGCTTGTGACATGCAGCTCACGAAAGGAGCTTGAGCAGGGCTTGTGTGGAATGGGACAGACACTGTCTTTGCATGGGGGCCAGAGAGACCCGCCAGAACCTTGTCAGGTAGGAGCCCCTCCCTCTCGCCCCTGAGCCTCCTCAGGGTTTGGTCACCTCCCCACAGTCAGTGGGGCCACGTGTGTCTGGGCTTCTTGTTCCCCTGGCCCAGGGCTCCTGCTCGTGCACTGCATCCGGACACCCATGGAGCTTCCTGGATCCCAGGGCTGCTCTGCTTCCAAGGGGTCCAGAAGTGAATTTGCACTTGGATGTGAGATGGCAGGGTTGTGGGGTTAGGCTGCCATTTGCCCAGAAACATACCAGTCACAATGAATTCTTACTGTCTTTCTTATACAAAGAGTTGTGATAAAAAAAAATTTTTCCCTCTTTTTGAGGATTCCAGTTTATTGCTCAGTTTATGAAATTAATTTATGCATGATTATTAAATCTGTGATCTGTTAGGACTGTAGTTTCTGTTATATGTGTTTGTATTATTATCGCTTATGATACAGCAGTGCCTTTCGTCATGTTTCTGGCATGAATTCTCACTTTGCTTATAGATCTTTTTCTCCCCAACAGTCCTGCTGCTTCTGTTTTGTGGGAAGTCAAAAATAGTGTGTGAGGACTTTGCCTGTTGGTTGTGGACTTTAAGAAGCAAAGGAGCTAAGGAGCCACTTATTTATTTACTATTCATTTAAGAGTTTGATATATGTATAAAATTAGTAAATTTCAATTAATTGTAGCTACATGAAGCAGAAACAAGGCTGTCAGTATCAGCTCTGTGTCATGATGAATGTGTACCTGGGGCCCTAGGAAAGTCACTTGACCACTTTGGTCTCCGGTACTCTATCTGTAAAGGGGGTTGTTAGTCTACTTTGGGGGGTTACTAAGAGTTAGAAAAGTAAGTATACATAGTTCCTTACCACAGTGCCTATTCCTACGTGTCATTCAAGTTTAACAGTAGATACTGTCGTTACCATTGTCAGTTCATCTTTTAGCAGTTTTTTATTGAATGCCTATTACGTGCCCACTTGGCAGCGTGGTGATGTGCAGACTGAGGTATTCCCTGCCTCTTCTGGAACTTGCGGTATGGACGGGCAGACAGGTTCTCATCAAGCAGTATGCCTGAGGTGACTGATAATTTGAATTGAATCACAGGTCACAGAATGAGAGCAATGAAGAGCAAAGGGAGTTGGACCGAAGATTCAGAGAAAAAGACCCTGAAACACAAAGATGCCACTTGGATGACAGTAGAAAGCAGAGAGCTCACTGTGAGTTTGACACGTTTTCGCGGAGAAATGAGGAGGAGCTGAGATGGGGGAAAGGAGGCCCCCCCGACAGAGGGAAGAAGGGGAGCCAGGACAGTGGCAACGCTGTGGAGGCAGCAGAGCGGCCCGGGAAAGAGCAGAGGAGTGAAGGTGGCCCAGCAGCCAAAATGGAGCGCCCAGGAAACAAGGTTCTTCTGCTTGTTTGGGATCATCTTTCATTCATCAGCCATAAAAGCACAAACAGCACATCTGCGGCTTTATGCCTGCTTTATCAGACGGAAGTTGTTTTAGTTAGCCCAAAGAGAGAAATCTGTGTAGGTGTCGGGGACTTAGGGTCACACACTCTGCCAGTGGGAAGTCTGCCCCCACTGGTTCCTGTGCTCTTAGGGAGTGCACTGCCCTGACAGTTTGCATTTCATGACGCTTCAGGGAGCTTTCTTTTACGTGATTAACAATGTAGTGATTATTAGTAGATAGTCAAATGGCTCATAAATACTCATCAGTTAGGTGTGCACAGTCGACACAGGATTGGAGTGGCCTACTTAGACCAACAAATGGCTTTTCTTTCTTTTTTCTTTTTTTTTTCCCCAGAAGTTTGAGGTTAACTTTTACTCAGATCACATTGTTGTAGAGAAGCACTATTAATGGGGTCCCCTCCCTATAGGGCCAGGCCCCGTGGTGCCAGTGAGTCCCCCACAGCCTGGCCGCCCAGTGTCCAAGGGGAACACCCTCATCCCACCCCATTTCCAACCTCGACAGGGACACTATCTGCTGTCTGCATGGTTTTGTCATTGCTATATAAGTGCTATGTAAGTGGAAGCATACAGTGTGTGACCTGAGACTGTTTTTCTCACTCAGATCTGCCTTCCCTTCCAGTCACCCAGGGTGTTGCTGGTATTAGTGATGTTGATTTTTAAAATGTTTCCAGGGCAGGCAAAACCACAGGCAAGAGGAGAGCCTTCTTCACCCCTGGCTAATCACATCTGTGTCACCCAGGAGTTTCTCTAGTTTCCTTAATCTCAGGTACACCAGAACAGCCATGGGTCTTTTTGGTGGGAGGTGTTTATACGAACACTTGTTTTCAGCTCCCTTTTTTTGTAGCAGCAGTGAGCACAGCTTTAGGCGTTGGGAGTCTTCTCCATGAACTCTGTGATGCTGTGGTGGAAATGAGGCGCCTTGTGCATAATGGCTCCTCCTTACGAGGCCTGGCAGGTTACGATGTTCTTTCAGTATCAGTGTTGACCCCCATCTGTGCACACCAGTGCTGCCCTGGTGAGAGCAGGACCATGTGTGTTGGCCCGGGCAGGAGGTGGCATGTGAACCCTGCCCTTCTCTCTGCACCCATGGGGCCTGCCAAGGCCTTTGCCACTCTCCTCCCTGGCCAGGCTTCCACCGGGGAAAAGGGCTGCTAAGTGCCCTGGCAGTGACTGTGGGGCCCTGCAGAAACACCTCCCCAGATATGCCCACCTAAGCTGCCCTGTCCTTGGGCCCCTAGGTGGCCACAGAAGGAGTGTAGGAGGCTTCCTTGAGGGGCTGGAAGCTCCCCTGAGCTGGGGTTTGGTTGTTCCTCCTCTCCGTCAGAGCAGAGCTACCTGGCTTCTGCTGTTCTGTCCTTCCCTGGCCTCACTGTGCTGATATCTGGAAGCAGTTCCGTGGTGTCTTACTCACGTTGCTCAACCATCATTGCGTTTCTCCACCTCTAAGACTTGAATCAGATGATGGGTTGGTGTTTCCTATGAAGGGGCAGTTCAGGAATAACCCACATAGAAATCACTCATTACAGACATCAGTAATTATTTAGTTCATGGCCCTAAAAAGCCGCCTCTGAGGGGCCATGCCTTGCTTTGTCTCAGGCCACATGTTCACCCTGCCTGGTAATTTAGAGGGGCTGAAATGTGTAAGTCTTCACCTCTGCCTGGGACGGCAGACGCCGTGGTTCTGCTGGTTCCAGGGAGATCTGGGTTTGCACAGTAACCTTTTCCCAGATACTAATTTTTACCTTTTTTCAAGTTATTTTAAATACTAACTTTCTGTTCATGGCTTTTTTTTTTTTTTTTTTTTTTTTTTTTTTTTAGCTTCAAAGTGCCTGGTTTCTGAGATGAGATAGTGCTGTGAAAAAGGCAGATTTTTAGCTGATTTTTTTTAGGTAATTAGAGTTATCAGACCCTGGAAGTAGAGAAGTTGCTCCCTCCTGTGTTGCTGGCCTTTGGAAGGGTAACCCACTGCTCTGTCCTGGCAGGATCGGCCGGCCTTGCAGCTGTACCAGCCAAGAGTTCGCATCCGAGCACGAGAAGGTGGTAGGGGAACCTCTGTGGAGTGCCCTGGCAGGAACAAGGATGAGGCTGAAGATTCAGCACAGGGGGGTTCCCAGAAGAGCGAAGAGGCGGGGTGAGTCAGCGCACATGTTTGGGACCTCCCATTCGGCATTCTGTGGGTTAGAGAGGGCATTCTGGAAATGTACAAATCAGCCTTGAATCTAACCTGCAAAGTGAATTTACTCCTTATAAAGAAATCAGAAACTAGAAATATAAATGTGGCATAGAAACATCTAGAAACCATTTTTAAGAAAGAAGCAATCTTTTAAAAAATTGAAAAGTTGTCATATTTTATTATTTTTAGTATAAAGTAGTATGTATCATTTAGCCAAAATAGCCTGTACTTTGAGTTCTACACATTTGTAAGTGATCTGTTGGGATTCATATCACATAGTATGTGAGCTATTGTTCGGGGGAAGGGAGGGCTCTCATTCCATTGTAACTCGGTGATACAGACACCTGTGCCATCTGTCCTGAAGATTCCCCGAAGTCTGTATTGTGTTATAGCCCCTGTGATAGAACTTAACACTGTATAAAATCTGACAGCTTTAAGAATTGCCCTTTTAGCAATGTGGCCACTGACTTTTTTCACAGTCTTTTGATGGATGTGCTCATGGTTTATAACTACCGTAATTTAAGGGTTGCTGAGACAACGTAAGGGCATTATTTTGGGACAAGGATAACTTAGTTATGGCATCTAGGGTTTTTCTTTTCGCAGTCTGAGGCAGTTTTATTTTGAAATGACTCATTGGAACTTTCTGCAGTTACGTGTTCTACAGTATTTTTTAATGTTAGTGAAATTTTTAAACATTAATGTATTTTTGGCACTATGCTTTGAACCACTTACTAAATAAAAATTTTAGTTGCTATGAATTTGAAGTCCAGTAGTACTTTTCCTACATCAAATTTTACATAATAAAACATTGCTTTTTAAAATGTAGCTTTAGGGGCGCCTGGGTGGCTCAGTCGGTTAAGCATCTGACTTCAGCTCAGGTCATGATCTCACACTTCGTGGGTTTCAGTCCCACGTTGGGCTCTGTGCCGACAGCTCAGAGCCTGGAGCCTGTTTCAGATTCTGTGTCTCCTTCTCTCTCTGCCCCTCCCCACTCTCGTGCTCTCTCTCAAAAAATGAATAAACATTTAAAAAAAATTTTTTTAAATAAATAAAATGTAGCTTTAGTTATCTGAGAATTTTGCTGGTTGTATCTATTCCTTTCTAGATATGAAACATTTATCAAAAAACTTAGAATACTCATTTATCATTAAAAATGTCTGTCAGACATATAGTCTATTCCATGGCATTGCTATGCCCTTGCTCTTGACTCTGGAGCTCCAAGAATTTGGCAGGGGGAGGGGGCAAAGGACTTGCTGTGATTTAGTGAGGTCTATGTGACCTGCTGGGGTCAGCCCTGATGGAAAAAGGGTAGGTGGGTAGTAACTATTTAGATGTTGCAGGCTCTCTGGTCTCTGTTACAACTTGCAAACTCTGCCATTATGCAATACATAACAAATGGGCAGGGCTGTGTTCCAATAAGATTTTATTTATAAAGATACATAGCAGGCCATATTTGGCCTGTGGATCATACTTTGCTGACTCCTACTTAGACTTTGGATCACACTGGATTTCCTGATCAGTGAGACACTGTGTCCTCACTGCTCACTTGGGCTTTGATCTGTAAACACAAGTACAGCTCAAAATAGAATAAGAATAAAGGCTTGAACACAAGACCTGAAACCATCAAATTTCTAGAAGGAAACACAGAGGGTTAGCTCCTTGATACCAGTCTTGGTGATAATTTTTTATATTTTGACACCAAAAGCAAAGGCAACAAAAGTAAAAATAAACAATGGAACCACATTGAACTGAAAAACTTCTTCACAGGAAAGGAACCTATCTATAAAATGAAGAGGCAACCTACGGAGAGGAAGAAGATATCTTCAAACAACACACCTAATAAGGGGTTAATATCCAAAATATGGAAAGAATTCATAACAACTCAATAGCAAAAAAAACCAAATTACCCAATTAAAAAAGAAAAAGGAGCAAAAGACCTGAATAGACATTTTTCCAAAGAAGACATCCAGATAGCCAACAGGTGCGTGAAAAGGTGCTCAGCATCACTCATCACCAGGGAAATACAAATCAAAACCACAATGAGATACCACCTCACACCTGTCAGAGTGGGTAAAATAAAAAAGACAAGAGAGCAAGTCTTGGCAAGGATGTGAAGGAAAGGGAACCCTCATGCAGCGTTGGTCGGAATGCCAAATGTTAGAGCCACTATGGTTTGCCAGCGTGGAGGTTCCTCAAGAAATTAAAAATAGAACTACCATATGATCCATCAGTGCCACTGTGGGCATAGATCCAAAGGGAATTGGAAGCACTACCTCGAAGAGATATCTGTTCACATGGTTGTCACAGATTATTCACAGTAGCCAAGGTGTGGAAACAGCCTTAGTGTCCACTATGGGTGAATGGATAAAAAAAATGAAATGAATATTATGCAGCCTTAAAAAAGGAAACCCTGCCATTTTCAACAACATGGATGAACTTGGAGAGCATTATACTAAGTGAAGTAAGCCAGACAGAAAAAGACAAATACTGCCTGCTATCCCTTACATATGTACAGCCTAAAAAAAAAAAAGTCAAACTCATAGAAACAGAGTAAAATGGTGGCTGCCAGGGACTAGGGCATGAGGGAAATAGGGAGAGGTTAGTGAAGTTCTGTTATTCAGTTATAAGATTAATAGGTCAAGGGTCTAATGTATAACATAGTGACGATAGTTAATACTGTATTGTATAATTGGAATTTGCTAAGAGAATTTTCTCACCAAAAAGAAGTAAATATGTGAGGTGCTATTTATTACTCAGTGTGAATCCTTTCATAATGTATGCATTTTACCAATCGGTATGTTGTATGCTTTAAATATATATTATAAATTTACTTGTCAATTATACCTCCATGAGGCTGGAAAATAAGTAAATAAAAAGTAGCTACATGCTGTGAAAGATTCTTGAGATCTGTCCCCAGGGCTTCGCAGAAGTCACTTTGAGATTACTGATTTAAAACAATAATACATTTGTATAATGGACTACTTCGGTATAAAACACTTCCATGTACACTCCCTAGTTTTGGCTTAGACTCATTTATAAGATGGTTGGGCAGGACACGACACACATAATCTCCCTTTTACAAACTAAGAAACAGGTTTAGAGATGTCCAGCACTTGTTGCTGGCAAAGCCAAAAGCTGTTTTCATATTCGTAAAGTTTTTATTACTAATTACTCAGAAATAAGTTTTTGAGTTTATCACATGTCTAAGAAATGATAGAAATGTTAAAGAATATTCTTCACACGGGCATTGCCCATGGGAGCCCGTATTGTGGGGAAGGCTCCCATGACCAAGGAGTGGGGTGGGGTTGGCCACCTGTTGGTTCACTTTCTAGTAATTCCTCTGCAAAACTTTCTTTTTTCTGTTTCTCATTTTGGATTTGTTTTTTGTTTTATTCAGCTACCTAAGTATTTTATTTTTATTTTTATTTTTCAGAGAGAGCATGAGCAAGGGAGAAGGGCAGAGGGAGGGAGACAGTTAATCCCAAGCAGGCTCCATTCTAAGCACAGAGCCTGATGCAGGGCTCGATCCCACAACTCTGAGATCATGACCTGAGTGAAAATCAAGAGTTGGATGGTCAACCAACTGAGCACCGCCCCCCCAGGCGCCCCACAGCTACCTAATAATTTTAGTAATTATATTTAAACATGAACAGGGGCGCCTGGGTGGCGCAGTCGGTTAAGCGTCCGACTTCAGCCAGGTCACGATCTCGCGGTCCGTGAGTTCGAGCCCCGCGTCAGGCTCTGGGCTGATGGCTCAGAGCCTGGAGCCTGTTTCCGATTCTGTGTCTCCCTCTCTCTCTGCGCCTCCCCCGTTCATGCTCTGTCTCTCTCTGTCCCAAAAATAAATAAACGTTGAAAAAAAAAAATTTTAAAAAAACATGAACATAGCAAAGCAGAGCATTAACTATCAGTATTTTAATGGCTCTCAGTCTTGCTAGTAAATTGGAAACACCAACTGACTGAAGTAATTCCTCAAATCTGACGTGAAATAGGTACCTTGAAGAATCTCACATGCATCTTTGGAAATAAGTTTTCACTTGCTTGATAATAGTATTACCAAGTAATTGTCTCCCACCTAATGAATCACATGACAGTGAAACACTTGGGGAGGGTGAGGTAGCTCACGGAGCAACAGGTTCTTTAATACAAGTCTCAGGAAGTCTAGTGGATCATGTGGCCCCAGGAACTAAGGAGAGGAGTGGTTATGGCTCAGCCGCAGTCGTGACATGGAGAGGACCTCGGGTGGAGAAGGGCATGAATTTCTTCACATTACGCCATGAGAAAGGATTTTTTATTTTCATCTGTATGAGTGAATTCTCATTTTTAAGTCTATTTTCTTAACTCTGATGAAAAGAGAGGTAATTATACTTTAGACAGATTTGTTTTCTGTTCTATTCTTCCTGTCTTTAAAATTAAGAACATGTCAGAGATTAAAATGGAGAATTTAAATGGATATTTGATCTATTCAATCTGTGTTAATTACTACCAAAAAAAGAAAAAAAAAGAGTGAAAATAAGTTTATTTTCAGAACAGTGTTCAGAGTCAAGAGGGTTGTTTTTTTGTTCGTTTGTTTTTCCCCAAGCAAATTAGCCTGCTTAAATCCACCAGGTAATTTCTTCAACCCAGTCTCAGCTTTAGTAAGGTTTAATGATAGTCATTATTATATGAAAATTCAGTTTAAATCCTTACTTTTAAAAGTTTGTCACTTCAGTCAAGTTTAGAAAAATGCTGTCTTCTCTGTGTGTTTCTGTTGGCCTGCATTTTGGTGGAAAGCTTACAACTTCTTGTAAGTGTCTATCCTTCCTTGTGTCAAAAGCATGTTTGTCTTGTAACACGTTAAGTTTCTTCCCCAAGTTCTTCACTGTTACACATCTAAAAAAATAATTACATAAGTAACTTTGTATGACTAAAGGGATAAAAGGTAAGGCATCTTGGCCAATTTAAACACAAGCAGTCTACCCC